CACTTAATAAATATAGCAGAAGATGGATTTTATGGGATAAACGTTGGTCAATTATCAAAAAATGTGCGAATTATGAATTGTTAAAAAAATATAAGACTACATACGGCAATTTTATAAGTACATACAAGCAACTTGTATCAAATATCATATTATCTTATACATTTATAATATATTACTAGTACAACACCCGTGGATTACACGGGTGCTTGTTAAAAAATTATTCTTAAATTTTAAAAATAATGAGAAAACTATATTAAATTTAGTTTACTTTTTTACAAAAAAAATATATTACTATATATTTTAGAATGATATGTGTTACTTATGACTTAGATGTGTTATATTATATTAGTGTTTATAACTTATATCATATAACTATTTGAAATGTAAATATATTAGTTGATAAATAATTTTATTTTTTTAGTTAATATTAAAAATAACTTTATTATTGTTATAAAGATAAATATAAATTATTTTTTTATACATACAATATGGATGTTAAATCGCAACTCATCAAAAGAAGATTAATTTGATATATTACATATGTAAAACTGATAAAAAATACAAAAGTTATTAACTTTTAAAATATATATATATATAGGTAAAGGATCATATGAGAATGGTTTCTAGTGAAAGAAATAAGAATGAATTTGGAGCATTGGATCTACCACATCAATGGTTATGATGAAGTCAAACTTTAATAAATAATGGTCAATCATTAATGGCAATCTAGTAATTATTTCAACTATTATGGTCTAATATGTGCATTTGACCAATAATTAAGGGTAAGTTGGTAATTACACCTATACCACATGGCCCACACTTTCTTTTTTATTAACATCTCTCCCTTTCATACAGATACAATTTCACACACACACACACACACACACAGTCCATTGCCCGGTGAAAATCATCCCACAACCCCCGGCACCGCCGCCTCCGCCACCGGACCGCCGTCGTTGCCGCCGCTACCATCACGTCGACCGCCGTTAGCCATCCCAGCAACACCCTCTCTCTCCCGCCCTCCCGGACATGTCGGAATCAACCCACCACGAACCGCCGGTCACGGCCAATTGCCTAAATCTCTCCCGTTGCTGCGCAGTCTATCATCGCCGCTAACATCCCATTGAGCGCCGTCATCCATCATAGAACCTCCACCACCGTCACCTGCCCCTCTCTCAAACTCAAGCAGCCCGCCCGCCGAGCGTCCTGAGGGCCGCAGTTCCGGCGAGTTGCAGAGGAATAGTAGAGGGTTGGCGGCATGACCAGGTCGAGCTTGCCGGTGTTCTGACTTGGAGATGGGAAGCCGGCGATCTGAACTGAAGATGGGAAGCGACCGGAGCTCTACGGCGATGAGGAATTGCATCGAGATTAAGTTGAATTTTAATTAATATACTGATTTATGTGAGACAATTGGGTGACCTCTGTGATTGATTTGGCTGACTTACGTGAAGAATTCGGTGAATTGATTTTGGGTGATTTTGGGTGATTTTGGGTGTGAATTATTTCAGGGACTAGTCTAGGAAATTAGGTTAATTTAAAGGACTATTGTGTAATTTTTTTTAAAACTTTAATTATAACATAAATTAGTTAGTGGTGTAAATATTTTTACTAAATTATTAATGATCTAATAAATATTAATATAGTGATAAATATTTTTTTAAACCTAAAGCCGACATTGAACCCAAATAAATGAACTTTTAAATTTTGAAAATTATATTTGCACTAACGCGTAAAGTTTCGAATCGAAAATATTATTTCGGTCAGCTTCGATTGCTAAAGTGCAGCCTGTGAGATTAATATTATTTGATCGATTGGTAGAATTACTGTAAGTTTAGTGCGTGGAACGTCTTATATAAAGTGCAATGTATTGATGTATAAAGTGCAATGTACTGATATATAAAGTGCAATGTACTGATATATAAAGTGCAATACTTAAATTATGGTACTTTAACAGTGTTACGTTTTTTTCCGTATATATATGATGTGATGGATAGTAAAGTTAATGGTCATTCATTTTTTTATGTTTATATTGCGTAATTATTTAACGGGAATTGTTGACATTAATTGTGGAGTGTGGTTATAAAGTGCAATGTGATGTTTTAGAAAGTTCGACGTGTTATTTTATAAAGTGCAATATTCAACTATATAAAATGCACTAATTTATATTTTCCCATATGTATCCAAAAACTAGTTTTAATCGATATAATTTTACATGTAATTAGCCTAAATAGTTAAAATATCCTTTTATTTATTATTTTATTATATAATTTATTTATCATTATAAATTATTTTAGTATTTTATATTATTCTATCAATCATTAGAATTAC